TCAAGGTCAGCCTGGTCTACAGGTCAGCTGGGATTACAGGGATACCCTGTCTCAAAAAACCCTAAATTCCCCCAAATACTGTGTCAAATCATTCTATTGCAGTGTTGCATTATATGTAACTTGCATTGCTATATATAAAATTGAATAGTTTTTAAAAGAACTCTACCAATTGAGCCATGTCCCCAGCCAGGCAGGTCTCGAACTCTTGATCCTCCTGCCTCTGCCTACCAACTGCTGGGATTACAGGCCTGTGCCACACACCCAACTTCATGAAGTTTCTTCCAAAATATTTTCTAAAATTTACTGTTCCATTCAGAATTGCATAAAGAAAGATCAATTTGTTGTTTCAAATGTGCTCTCCTGGCCCCGCTCAGCCTGCTTTCTTATACAACACAGGCCCACCTGCCCAGAGATGGCACCACCCATGGTGGGGCTGGGCCCTCCCACATCACTCAACAATCAAGAAAATGCTCCACAGACATGGCCACAGGCCAGTCCAATGGGGGAAATTCCTCAACTGATACTCCCTCTACCCAGCTGTGTCAAGTTGGACAACTAAAGCTATCCAGCACGACATTATACAAATTATATATGTATACAAATTATGCCCTCACACACCTATCATTTATGCATTAATTATAACAAGACTTGCTATAAATGGGTTGCATCAGGAGATAAAGTCTAGTTCCTTTTCATAAGTTCTCACATGTAAAGCCTACTTGCAGACGAGTGATGGAGTAATGAAAGGGATCTGGCAGATGGTTTGTGTTTGGTCCATCAAGTCTTCACTATTTATTACTTTCTATCAAAAAAGGGAACCATTCACTTACTGGGATGTAAAACAGAAATTGCTCCCAGGTAAACTAGATAGAGCTCTGTGGGCATGTCAGGTTAGTGTCTGCATTTTGAGTTGACTCATTATTGACAGCTGTGTCTGTAGCCTGTCTCTTTGGTAGTGCAATTGAGCTCTTCTGAACATAGTGGTACTTGGCTTCTGACCTCTGTCACCCAAGATGAAGGCACAACAGCGAAGGGAAACTGTGTAAATGAGTCAGTTGCATAGATTACAGAGTCGTTGAATGCATTGTTTAGCATCATTCTTTGCCTGATGTAATTGATGGACATCTCCACCTAAGCTTTACAATTTGTATTTTATCCAAAGAACATAGACTGGTTTATTTACTCATTATCTACCTGTCTGTCTGTCTATCTATCTATCTATCTATCTATCTATCTATCTATCTATCTATCTATCATCTATCAACTATCATCTATCAATCATCATCATCTATCTATCGTCTATCAATCTATCATCTATCTATCTAACTATCATCACCATCTATCATCTCTATCTAGTTTGTTTTGGAGGCAGGGTTTTGCATCTCAGACTGGTCTCAAACTCACTGTATAGCCTAGGATGACACTGGACTTCTGAGTCTTCTACCTACCTCTCCCTAGTGCTGGGTTACAGTTGTGCCCCTTCCACATTCAGTTTATGCAGTGCTGGGGGTTGACCACAGGGCTTTGTGTATGTTAGGCAAGCACTCTGTCAACTGAGCTACATCGCCAGCTGTAGACTTATTTTAGCATCAGTTGTTTATTGGAGGCCTCTTAAACTCTTGCAGGAGACCACCTGTACCTCCTAGTACCTCCTAGCATCCCTACCCTTTGTGAGACCCATTCTGTATCCTAGTTACTCAGAGAATGGTCCTTACCCTTGTGCATTTGTTAGAAATACAATCACAGTCTACCCTCCCAAGTCCTACAGAATAGGAATGTGCATTTTAGCAAGGTCCACCGGCAATAGAGGCGGCCTGCTAAGCTTTGAGGAAACATCCCTGCCAGTATCAAGTAAACACATCAATTCACTTTAAACCAGCATGGGAATGGCTTTCAGATTCAGATATATTAGATTTAATGACTGAATGCCTAGAAACGTGTGCAGAGCCCTTGGTGAGGAAGTCCCTTGGTGCCGCATTTTCTCTTTTGTATTATGTGTGAATGGTCTTCGCACCCCAAGGGAACAGTGAGGGACAGCCATACCCCACAGCTTCAGTAACTGATTTGCCAGTGGTGCTGTTCTCATTGGACCCCTACATTGCATCTTCTTCCTCCTACCTACCCCACACTCACTGTCGTCTCTCTCCCAAACGGCCGTTAATTCATGCATTAAAATAATTATTCGCTAAATAGTATTCTGGTAGTCTTCCGTATCCCCCAAAGGCTCTTTTTCTCAGGAGTGTTGTTTACATGTTAGAGCTAGGTCCAGGAGACAAGAAAGATGAAATAGCAGAGCCTCCTGGGATGCGGAAAGCCTTTGAGCACATCGGCGAATTTTCAGCTCTTTCTCATTATACCGCGTATTGGAAAAACACCAGATATCTTTGATCTCCTAGTTGATTATGTGAAGCACTCATGATCTTTTATTATCGCCACACTGAATATGAGTGTTTTACATTAGTTCATGCTTATAAGGAAAAACAGGCTAATTTTCCCCCAGAAAATGGCTTTTCAAGTAAAATGAATGTTCACTCAAAATTAACAGCATCTGGAGGGGAGTTGGGAGGCAGTTGCTAGCAACTGGCTTTCACTGAGTCGGTGCTGTCTACCCACTATCCAAGCTGCTGCTCCATAGGAAATAAAAGAAAACAGCAAACAGTGCAAAGGTCTTAATGTGACTAGAATTGCACCTTTTCAAATGAATACAGCATTTTCCTTGAGTTAACCAAAACAGCTTATTTTCCACTTTTTAAGACTTATCTCACCTAATCATCTTCACTCTGCAATTCTATCTTGTTAAAGGGCTTCTGGGATACATTGTGTTTCCTCTTTCCCTTTGAGTCTAATTGAAAAGGTTGATGACTATCTTATTTTTGTTATGTGTCCTTCTGTGACTTTGCAGTTGACATGTCAAAATACAAGCAGTGGACTGGGGAAGTTAGCCAGACAAGGGTGTGCCACTCAAGCTGTAGGACATGAATTTGAGTCCCTAGAAGCCATGTTAAAAAAAAAAACAAAAAACAAAAAAAAACAGACAAAAGCCCCAAACAATCAAAGCAAAGCAAAGCAAAGCAAACAAACAAACAAACCAAAGAGGCTTAGCAGTACATGCCTATAATCCCAGCCCAGCACTGGGGAGGAGAAAGGAGAAGATCCCTGGGCTCACTGTCCAGCAGCCTATCTAAACGAGTGAGCTAAGTTCAGCAAGACTTTGTCCGAAAAGATATGGTAGAAAGCTGGGCGTGTTGGTGCACCCTTTAGTCCTAGCACTAGAGAGAGAGAGAGAGGCAGATGGATCTCTGTGAGATCAAGGCCAGCCTGGTTTACATATTGATTTCCAGGGCTGCTAGGGCTACAGGGAGATCCTGTCTTAAAAAGCCCAAACCAAACCAAAACAATAACAGAAAGATATGTGGAGAGTGACTGAGGAAGATACCCTATTCAGACCACTGGGCTCCGCACACATGTACACACATGAACATGCACACACAAAATACAAATTCTTCTTAGGCTTCCTCTAATTGGTAATCAAACCTATTAAATGAGACCCATTGTTACCAAAAAACCTCGCTTCTCACTGTAACATCTATGTAGTGAGATTTATGTCTGTCACTGTGTAAGTACTTTCTCTTACGTCAGTCATTTTGTAAGTACTTTCTCTTACGTCATCACTTTAGAGATTGAATACTTTGCCTAAGATCACATGACCTAGTATGTGGCAGAACTGAAGTGGCAGATTTTACTCATTTCTTTTTGCAGGGGATGGGGCTGGCCCTGAGCTTGCTGTGTATCCCAGGCTAGCCTTGCTTAGGGTCCTGTTTAACCCTGAGTCCCTGCTTCTTTTATAACTGAGGATGACACTCTGTACCGAGTCATCCTGTTGATCAACTTTTCCTTGAATCCTGTTTCATTAATTGATTAGGATCTCAGGTTGCATTTCAGAGGACTGAACTTACAAATGGCCTCTCTATACCTATTAAAGCAGACCAAGATCATTTCAACTAGGATCAGATTGCTAACGTGTGTTGGGCTAGGATTATTTACAGTCAGTGTGAACCCAGAAGTTCAGTATTGGCTTGTTTGCATGTGTTAGTTTTGGAATGATGTATGTGCTGGCCTTTAGGATCTGCTCCATTCTTGAGGATTTTGATGTCCTCAGATTACAACAATGGTTTCTTGGCACTTTGGATGGTCAAAGCCATGTGTGAGGGTGGGAATAAGAGGATCCGTGTCACTTATCTTGCAGGCTGCCTCTGGTAAGCAGAAATGACAGTGAAAAGCTCCTGATTAATTTGAATGGCTTTAGCCCTGTCCTTCCTGCCCCTTGGAAATGAAAGTGCCTAAGAAATTGATACTGTAAAGCTGGGTGTGTATGTGTGTGCCTGCTTGCATGTGTGCGTGTGTGTGTGTGTGTGTGTGTGTAGGCAATATAGGGAAGACAGGGTTCATTTAACTTTTAATTCCACATTGCAGTCCATCGGTTGGGGGAAGTCAAGGCAGAAGCTCAAGCAGGTAGTCACATCACACCCCTAGTCAGGAGTGAAGAGGAAATGACCATGTCCTTGGGGCTGGAGAGATGGCTCAGCAGTTAAGAGCACTGACTGCTCTTGCAGAGGACCCAGGTTCAATTCCCAACACCCACATGGCAGCTGTGAACCATCTTTAACTCCAGCTCCAGGGGAATCCGAAGCCCTCTTTTGATCTCCACAGCACTGCACAACACGGGTGTACTCACATACAAGCAGGCAGTGTATCATATACATAATAATAATAAAATAATAAAATGAACTTATCCTTGTTTGCTCTCAGCCAGCTTCCTCCTTTCCTGCACTGTTCAGGACCCTACTGTGGAGGGAGTGGTACCCTCCCACATTGGGCTGGGTCTTCCCACATCAAGTAACCATCAAGACAGTCCCCCTTCAGACGTGCCCACAGGCCAACTTGGTCTAAATAATTCCAGATGAAGAGTCCCTTCCCAGAGGATTCTAGATTGTGTCACGATGACAGTAAAACTAACCTGCACAGCTTGGGTTTTAATAGGCACTAAAATCCGATTTCTCAATCTGACTCAGACCAGTCATGTGGCATCTCATCCTTCCTCCTCTTTCTCTCTCTGCAGGATGATGGAGTGGTTCTTCAGTGTACTGCGGTCGTCCACAAAGAGCAGCAGAAGCTGTGCCTGGCGGCAGAGGGGTTCGGCAACAGACTTTGTTTCTTGGAGTCTACTTCCAATTCCAAGGTGAGATGAAGCCTCTCAGTGCCTTTTGAATATTCAAGTTTCCCTCACAGCATTGAGTTGCTTATGAGTACTTTGTTAGTTTCTGTGACACGCATAATATGTAAGCTAAAAGGGTGAGGAAAAATGTTTTCACTCTTTAATATGGAAAACTTGGAGCCTCTGTCGGTTGCAGAGAACTGGGATGCAGCTGTTCACAGGTGTAGGCAAAGCCTTTGACCGTGATGGTTATATCATAGTGGAGACATAAACATATACATAAATGATGTAATTTCAGAACAGAAGAACGTGAGGAAGAAAAGGCAGAGTGATCAGACAGACAGAGCTAAGGGGAGTCTCACTTCTTTAGTGTTTCAGAAAGACTTCCTTGATATAGTGAAATCTGAACTGTATTACCTTCTTGAAACTTCCACAAACAAGAAGCAAGTCATACAAGGTCTCTGGGTAGGACTGCACAGGCAGAGTAGCACAGAGTGACTAGTGATAGATGACTAGTTGTGACTAGACCTTAGCTGTCCTAGAACCTTGGGCTGTTGGGGGTCAAGCTTTCTTTGTAGTGTGGAGGCAGGCTGTGGGGTCGGGCATTGGAGTAGGGCAGTGATTCTGTTTGGGTGAATGCTGCATAGATTGTGCTGGCTCCAACTTGGACTTGAGACTGTAGGGAGCAAGAATAGAGGGCAAGCAGGAGGATGAGGCTTGCCTGCTCTCTGTCTAATTGGCAGTCGAAGCTTCCTTTTACCAGGAGCAAGGGCTGTGGGAAACGTGGTTGGTTTGGGGCTCTGCTCCAAGAACACCCTGGTTCTGCTGATAGATCAGATTGTGTGGGGAAGAGAGGAAAAGGGTATCTCTGAGAGGAGGAAGTCTGTGGAGAGCAGGCCATTCAGTAATCTCTTGTGTAGTAGCCTTTGGTTTACAGAGCTCTTGGTGTGGGAAATCTTACTTAATTCTCACAATAAGAGAATGAGTGATTACTGTTATCTTGATCATTGTTCAGATGTCAAGTCTTACACTTGACGTACTTGAAATGACTTCCCCCACACAGCAATGGCTGTGCATACTTCTACCAGGTCTTTTGGCTCCAAATGATTTATTCTTTATGCCATGGAACCTCTGGTTATCATGTAAAAAAATCAGTTGTGCACACACATATGATTCGTTATGATACTTTATGTCAAGTTGACTTTGGACTCCTAATCCTTCTGCTTCCACTTTACCAATGATAGGATTTCAGGTCTATATGTTTTGGGGGGTTGAGCCCAGGGATTTATGGTTGTTAGGGTGCTGGGGAGGCAGAGGCAGGTGGATCTCTAGGCCTCCCTGGCCAGCCAGCCTACCCTACTTTGAAGAGCTGCACACAGTGAGAAGTACTGTCTCAAGCTAACAGCAAGGACATCACCTGAACAATGACACCAGAGATTTTCTTCTCTCTGCACGTGCAACACACACACACACACATATACACACACACACACACGTGCACACACACACATATACACACACAGTTCAAAAGTAGGTTTACCATGTGAAAGTCAAGCGTTCATATAGGACCAGGCATCTTTTTGGACTGTTTGGTTCCTAGCAGGAATACTTGATTCTGTATTTGCTATTGATGACCTTATGGACTGGATATAACTTCTTAAATTTTCACAATATCTTAGGTTTTCTCTGATTTATATGAAAACTTGCTTCAGGTTATTTATAGAGTTAAAGGTAAAATTATAGCACTGTGAGCTGTTTCTTAAGCTCTTACAGTGTAAGCCCCCTCCTTCCTTCCCATCTCTCAGATGGCTGGGTGATTCCACCCTGCTAGTCTGGCTCCTGCTCCCTGTGCCTTGCTTCATTCTCATATGTATGTGGCTCCAAGTCCTTTCTTTTTAAAAATATTTCATTTCTTATTTTTACTTTATGTGTATGAGTGTATTGCTTGCCTATATGTGCACCCATGTCATGCAGTGCCTGAAGAGGTCACAATAGGGCATTGGATCCCCTGGAACTGGAGTTATGGATGGTTGATAGATGTCCACGTGGGTGATGGGAATGGAACCTGGGTCCTCTGCAGGAGCAGCCAGTGCTCTTATCCACTGAGCCTCTCTCCACCTCTCTCCATGTTCTTCTTTGAGGCAGAAGTCAGGTGTTACTAAAATGGAGGAAACCCTGCTGTCTCTCCAAGCCTTCCTCCAGTGGTCTCCCCTTGAGTCACTTTTCCCACATTCTACAGTAGACGCCTCAGTGCTTGTTGAATGTTTTGCTTATATTTTTAGGATGTATCCATTTGTGCTTAGTCCTGACAGTCTCCACATGGCCTTCATTTCTTGAGTTCATACTGACATCCCCCCTTGCATCCATATGCCAAGTCCTGGTCCTTTGGGGACCAGATGGAACACCTTTATTTTCTTATCTTTTAGTGCTAAGCATTTGCCTTGTACTAGAAAAGTTTTAACAGATTATTAATTTTGAAATTCGTTTTAAGCTTATCATGTTTTTCTAAGATAGACTTTCCATTGTCTGTAACAACAAAGCGACAGAACTCCAGACATCAGTTCATGATCCTAATATGTGAACATAGGTTTGGATGTATTTCATACAGGTGTATCTGGATTTGACTTTCATTGGTAAAAAAAAATGGGATATCATTTCCCTCTCTCCTATGGGTGTCTCCTGCATTCGTCATAAGGAGCATAGAACGATTGTCAGCTGCAACTATCCAGACTCTATAAATTATATACCCATTCCTGGATGCCATCCCACAGGTATCTGAAGCTCCAGTGTTCTCATCAAAGGCAGGACTGCCTTCTCGAGAATATGTTGCATCATGTGCCTAAGGTGTTTATTCAGGCTTATCTTCTGCAAGAAAATGGTTCATAATTTCAATTCGGATTTTCCTGCAGAAAATATAAACATTTAATCATGACGACATATTCAGAGTAGTTATTCCTGATTTGACATGATGGGTATTTACTGTGCACCCCTTATTCAAACAACTTTACATTTTTGCCTCTAAAGAATTGGGAAGTTGGGTTTTGGATTTTTCAAACTAGCACCTTTGAGGCAGAAGTCCATCATTAAAAATTTAGGGAGCTAGGGACTGGAGAGATGGCTCAGTGGTTAAAAGCATCTGCTGCTCTTGAAGAGGATCCCAGTTTGATTCCCAGCACGTACACTGGGTGACTTACAATCACCTATAAATCAGCTCCAGGGGATCCAGTACTCTCTTCTGGTCTTCATGGCTTATCTTCACATATACAGACAGGTAAATAAAAATAGAATACATCTTTAAGAAGAAATTTACAGTGCTAGACTGGGGACATGGCTCATTTGGTAAAGCATGACGATCTCAGTTTGATTCTCTAGAACTCAAGGGACCTTCAGTTGAAACCACAGCACTGGGGAGATGGAGCCTGGCAGATCCCTGGGGTTCACTGCCAGCCAGCCTGGCAGTCTGTAAGTTCCAGTGAAAAGTGAGACACCCTGTTTTAAAAGCCACGAAGTAGATGGCGCCAAAGGAATGACATTTGAGATTGACCTCTGATCACTACACATATATGCACGTCTACCTGCACCTACATACCCACACACCCCAGCACATACACATACACATAACTGTACACACACACACACACACACACACACACACACACACTATTAGGGAACTATGATGAGCTATCAGGGTGACACAGTTTATTTTATTTTATTTTTTATTTTATTATTTTATTTTATTTGTGTCTCCTCATAACAACAAAGTTACAAAGATGCTAAAACACCAACTCCAAACCCCACATAATATAAAAAGCAAGCTAGTGGCCAGTGTTCCATGGTACCAGTGAATAGATAGGAGAAAGTGGAGGGAAGGAGTTGAGGTTTCCATTCTTCCCCAAGCCAGTGACAAGCATCCACCGCAAAGCATGATGGGTCACAGTAGGAACAGCAGCCATCTCTACCCCCCCCAATAAAAGACCATTTTACCTGAAATTAAGAAATCCACTATTAAATAAATATTTGGCTGAAGGAGAAACAAAATGAAAGGAATATGAAATTATGTTTCTTGAACACAATGATAAAGGAGCTTGTTATACACTATGTGGGATGTGGTTAAAAAGTTAGACTGAAAATTATGCATTAAACTCACATGTTATTAAAGGTGAAAATTTTAAGTAAATGTATTTAACAACTAGTTAGAAGGCCTAAGGGCGATAGCAAAATGGAATTATTAAGATAAATTGATGAGTTAATTTTAAGAGTAGTTTTTTGAGGGATAATCAGTAGAAAAACAATAATCAATCTAATCAAAAAGGAAGAAAGTACAAATATTCAAATATTGAGTTATCTGTGAGTTCAGGGGAGTTAATTACTCCAATAGGGGAAATTAAACCAGAAGGGATCATTTACCTACTTGTATGCAAATCAATGTTGACATCTTCATGAAATGAGTAAATTTCTGTGAAAATTAAAATTTCTATTGGAATGCCAAATGGACTTATAAAAACTCAATAATGATGCCCTGAAGGAATCCTCTATGACATCTGGGCCAGGGTTAGATTGCCTTGATTTACACGTGCTACTTAAATGACTTTGACGCACAGCAGAACAAATCCCTAATTTATTTTACCAAACATAGCATAGATTCCAAAATCTTTAAAAATATTTTCAGGGGCTGGAGACATGGCTCAGTGGTTAAGAGCACTGGCTGCTCTTGCAAAATACCCAGGTTCGATTCCCAGCACCCACATGGTGGATAACAACCATTTGTAACTCCAGTTCCAGAGGATCTGACATCCTCTTCTGACCTCTGTGGGCATTGCATGACACAGGTACACTTACACACATGCAGGGAGTACACTTATACACATAAAATAAAAATAAATAAAATATTAAAAATATTTTGAAAAGATAATTTGTATAAGTACTTCCTCTTTAGTACAGGAATCTGAGATAAAATAACTTTTTGAAAAATAAACCACTGTTACATTAAAATGTTTGTGGCAACCAAAGGACTTTACTAAAAA